TATTAAAAAGTTATAATAAGTATTAATAACTAACTTTACTTATATTAGCAAACGCAATAAGATGGAATTCAACCTATAAAATACTTTACACAGCTATTTTATTAGTAGAACCTATTAAAATATTACAAAAAAACGAATTTAGTAGCTTTTAAAGATACTAGCTTAACTACGTAAGAATAGGCTAATTTAAATACTTTAACAAGTATTTTAGAGATTTTTAATTAGCCTATAACCAGAGCATTAAAAGTAGTGTAGTTTTATAGTTTCTAGTGAATTTTAGTGTAGTGTAGTATAGTGTAATTTTACTATACTATATTACTTTATTAGCTTAAACGCGATACACACACACACCTATAACTCTATACGCGGTATCGCGATCTAGTTACTTTCTAATTCCTATAACTTACTTCTTAAGAATAATAAGGTCCTTAAATAAGCAATAACTTAATTTAAATAGAGTGAATATTATATTCTAAATATAACTATATTCTCGTTAATTATAGTTTATTTAATTAACCTTAAATAATTGTATTTTTATTAGCTAATATAAGTGTTTCTTAGAATAAAGCCTTTAATTAATATAATAGTATTTTTCTTTATTATAAGCACGTATAGTTTACCTTTACTTTTATAAAGACTTTAACCTAAGAATTTAAGGTTATTATCTTTCTCTTTTATTACTTTAAGATATACTTTAAGCTTATTTATAGCTATATCTTATAGAATTTATAAGACTTTATTTACTCTTTTATTATTTATAGTACGGCTTTTCTTTAATAAATATAATTAATCTCTTAGGTATAATTTATAATTACTTTTAGCTAAGGTTTTCTCTTTAAGTATTATTATTTCTTAGGTATAAATATTCTTTAATTTAGCTTATTATTCTATTATCTTATTTAAGTAGTAGCTTATAAGTTCTTTAAAGTAATTAATTAAGAATATTAAGCACGTGTAATTATATTTCTAGTTTTTTATTTAAGGTATATATAATATTAGAATATAATTAAACCTATAGAGGTAATTTAGTAGTTTAAGTACTTATTATTATCCCTTAATAAACTACTTAAAACGTTAGCTTTTACCTCTTATAAGAGAGTTAAATACGTATAGTATCTCACGCTTATACTTAAATATAAAGTATATTTAATAGCCTAAAAAGTATACGAACTTTATAAAGAATTATATTTTCTTTTAGTATATATAAATATTTTATAGATTATATTAAACGCTATATATAATATTTATTAGAGTATTATTAAGTCTCTTAATCTTATTACTAATTAATTGATATAGTTTTTACTTAATAAATTACTTAACTTATATAATAAATAGGTATAATATAACGTTAAAAACCTTTTTAATTTCTCTTCTTATAATATAATCTATTATTATTAGTTTAAATTAATTTAACTAATAATTTAACTCTTTTTTAGCGTAACTTTTAGCTATAAATCTATAAATTTCTATTAAGTAATTATTTTATAACTCTTTAAATACTCTAACCACGAGGTTCGCGGTAGTTAGCGCCGGATTCCGGGCGGTGAGCGGGGTTCTACCGTGGTACTATAAGGGCGGGCGCTTAGGCTATTACGCTAGCTATTAAGGCGCGCTAGCTATTAGTTATATAGGCCCGCTTAATTAGGTAAGCGGTGAAAAAAAAATTTTTTTTTTATTAAGGTTAAGGGTTACTTAGCTTAAGAGTAAGGGCCCTTTAAGGGTTAAGAGAGAGAAGAGAGAGGGGAGAGGGGAAGAGAGAAGAGGGAAAAGGGGAGTAAAGGTTACTTATAAGTTCTATAATTAAGTATAAGTTTATATATAAATGTATAAGCGAGTAATAGCTTATATCTTTCCCTCTCTTCTTCTTATAGTTTAATTATAAGAGAAGAGAAAAGAAAGAGAAAGAGGAAGAGAAAGAGAAAGAGAAAGAGAAAGTAATTAGCCTATACCTTAACTTAACTTAATTAACTAGCTAATTATTACACTTTATTATTATAAAGAGAAGAAGAGGCTTAATACGCTTTATATAAAAGAAAAGGGTATTAATTAATACGTTATACTTCTTAAGATTATTATTATAATAAAGGGAGAAAGAATTAACCTATAAGAAAGAGTTAAGCTTTATTTTAAAAGCTATAAGGCGTTAAATAGTATTAATTAATATATTACGCTTTCTTAAATTATTATTATAAATTAACTTATAAGAAAGAGCTATATTTATACTAAAAGCTACAAAGTGTAAAAGAGTATTAATTAGTATATTACGCTTTCTAAGATTATTATTATAAGAAGAGCTTTATCTTAAAAGCTATAAAGCGTAAAAGGGTATTAATTAGTATATTACGCTTTCTAAGATTATTATTATAGGAAGAGCTTTATTTTAAAAGCTATAAAGCGTAAAAGGGTATTAACTAGTATATTACGCTTTCTAAGATTATTATTATAGAAAGAGCTTTATCTTAAAAGCTATTTTTAATATATCTTTTTCTATTAAGAAACGCTTATACACGTGGTTTATTATTAAGTTTATTCTTAAATAATTAAGAAGAACGTATAGTTAAGTGAGAATTAAAAGAGAGAGAGAGAAGTATAAAGGGGTTATTTAAGCGAGTAAGAGAAGACACGCGCGCACGTATATATATATATATACGTGTAAATTAACCTACTTAAAATAACCCTATTAATTAACTTAATCTTATTTCTTAAGAAATAAAATTTACCTTTAAAGTTAAGATATATACCTCTCTCTCTTTTTCTTTTCTCTTTCTTTCTTTCTTTTTTTATTAATATATATAATAATTATATAT